TGCTTGCCTGCCATGTGTCTGAATCCTGAAACCGCTCATGGTCCTATTTTCACTCAAGATCAAGCCTCGATGGCCCTTGAAGAAATCACAAGTCCGATTCAAAATCAAGTGTTCACCACCCTTGAATCAAATTCAACTCCAGATAAAAGGAGTAAGTTCAGACCTTCGGGGGAGACCAAAAGAATCCTCCAGCCCAGTTCAAGATTAAGCCTATGGAAAATCAACGATTGGAGGAAACCAGAAAATCTTCCAGTCGAACTCAAGATCAAGCCTCGATGGCCCTTGAAGAAATTTCCAGCCCAATTCAAGATCAAGCCTCGACGGCCCTTGGGTTGACATCTACATTAAGGGACTTCAAAACGCATCTTCTACACGTGACAAACACATGTCTACGACGCGCCTTGAAGTGGGGGCATTTGTAGACATCGAAATTTCAGTAAAATAAATGTTAACCAATGTATTAAAATTACAACATTTATTTACTTCACCAACCTCACACACTTACTTCACCTACAACATCCACTTACTTCACCTACAACCTCCACTCACTTCACCTACATCATCCACTCACTTCACCAAAAAAATGAATGGTGGTGATTCACTCTCAAAGCCTATAAATAGGCTTCTCCATCAAGAGGAATAGACACACACAAAAAACCTTGACACACCAATTCACAAATACATTTCTCTACTCCCAAAATGGAAGAGAATACTCCCCACACATCCAAAATCCTTGAAGCTTTGAAACTCTAAAGCTCTCAAGCATCCAACCCCCAAATTCCCAAGAATCCCGAAGAATGGAGAAAACACTCTTCATTCTTCATCAAATCCTCCTTCAAGATCAAGCCCCGACGGCCCTTGAAGAAAGTGTTCATCATTCATCATCCGTTCATCCTAAGATCAAGCCCCAACGGCCCTTTGGATCAACAACATCAACAAATATACACACCAAAACCTTGAAGCCTTAAAGTTCTAAAGCTCTCAAGAAAATCCCGAAGGATCAAGAAAGCACTCTTCGTTCTTCGTCAAATCCTCCTACAAGATCAAGCCCCAACGGCCCTTGAAGAACTCCCACCAACTCAAGATCAAGCCCCGACGGCCCCTTGAAGAAAGTGTTCATCATTCATCATCCGTTCATCCTAAGATCAAGCCCCAACGGCCCTTTGGATCAACAACCTCAACAAACCCATACACCCATTCTTCAAGATCAAGCCCAACGCCCCTTGAAGATCCATTCATCAACTGTTCATCCTTAGATCAAGCCCCGACGGCCCCTTGGATCAACAAACAAATCCACACATCTATTCTTCAAGATCAAGCTCAAAAGCCCTTGAAGAAAACCAACTGTTCATTCAAGATCAAGCCTCGACGGCCCTTGAAGAAAACCAACCGTTCTTCAAGATCAAGCCCAAAAGCCCTTGAAGATCCACTTATCCATCAACATTCAAGATCAAGCCCTGAAGGCCCTTGAAGAAACTTCCATCAACCTTTAAGATCAAAGCCACGAAGGCCCTTGAAGAAACTTACAACTGTTCATCCAAGATCAAGCCTCGACGGCCCTTGGATCAACAAATCTACATCTTACGGAGATCGAATCAGAGGACCAAATTTGAGAGATCGTAACCCCAAAATCATTAAACACAAAAATATTATTTTGTACACATATTCTTGTTTCTTGTTTTCAGGAATTTTTCGTGTTCACACACATGTATGTTCTTACTTTGTGTATAGCTGGTTTTTATTTATTCGTACTTTTATTATTATTTTTTAGCTTCCGCACTGTGCATATGGTTACGTCACTTCCACGTGACGGCCAGCATGGCCTGATCTCGATGGGGGTGTGTCAATTTCTTAGGATTTTCAAAAAAAATTATAATTTTTTATGTCAAAAAAATAAAAATAAAAAAAGAGTGATTCCATCCCTTCAATTAACAAAAATTCAAGAAATCTCTTTCTTCCTCTGCCTATTTTCCTCTCTTGTGTGCCTTTCAATGGCTTCCAAAGAAAGTGCCTTCCAATGGCTGAAGCACCAAAAGCCGATAGTACTAAAGAGAATTCGATACATAAAGCCCTAGCTTTGGCACGAAAAGGTGAAGCTATTTATTTTCTATGAAATTTTAAGTGAGTATTGAATTTCTTAGAAATGTTCGCCAAGTTGGAATCTAGGCATTTGGAAAAATGGAGGTTTTAGTTGGTTTCTGTGAAGTAGGTTTTGGAATTGGAATATGGGTTGTGATATTAGCTTGGTCAATTTTGATGATTTGAGTGTGAATGGATCCAATATTGGCTTGGTCAATTATGATGATTTGGAAAAATGGAGGTTTTAGTTGGTTTATGTGGTCGCATGAAAAGAAATCTGAGGAGGTAGGGTTGGATTCTTGATGCCCTTTGGTATATATACCACCCACATTCAAAACCGTCTAAATTCTTCACTTATTAAAATCCTAACAAATCTTTGACATTTTCACTACACTTGAATTTAGATGTATTCTTTAAAATTGTAATTTATTACTCCTGGATTTTGATGTATTCTTCAAAATCCTTTTAAATCCTAATTTGACTATACTATGTTTCAAAGTCCTTTAAAATCATTTTTTTAAATCTAATTGACTACATCCGGATTTTAAAGTCTATTAAAATCCTATGAAATCCTAATTTGATTACACACCCTCTTTAGATAACCTTTACTTGCCACTAGTTATCCTTTAAAAATAATAATAATAATAATAATAATTTACTTTTTCCTTATTACTTTAAGTGAGACTACTACTCTTTAATTTAACTTTTTTTCTTTTTCAAATTAAGTATGATATTCATTTAAATTAGGTTTTGTATACATGCAAAAGAGAGGATATTGTGCAATTAAATGGGCTTCAATAAAAATTTTGTTGAGAATTTCAACCTGGTCGAAGAAAAAAAAGTGTCTCGCACCAAAATTACATAGTTAAACTCTCCTCCAAAATTAGGTCTAAGATTACAATTCTTCAAACCAAACTCTTCATTTATCTAACATGAGTCCCATTAACGCCAGTCTCTGAGCCACCTTACTTGCCTCCTGTCGGGTATGGAAAAGTTTTGTTCGAGATATTGAGCGTAGAAAATAGTGCGTATCTTTCACCACATAATCCATCAAAAAAGTGTCATCTGTTGCATGAATGTTTAGAGCCGCGAGGACCATCGTTGCATCCTACTCAAATTCAGCATTCAACAAGAATCAAATTTAAGATTTCTCACTCAAAGTGAAAAGGTATATCACAAGACCTAATACTAAGTGGCATCTTAGAATAATATTATTAAAGAAAATGTTAACTAAAATAATATTAAATGTTAACTAAAATAATATTCATTTTTTCTCCCTGCAATATAATGAATTTAATATAAATACCGCTTGTACAACAAAAATGTTATTTTTTAAGTTTTGACCATCTGATAAAATGAGAGAGGAAATAATCAAACTTGAATGCAAAATAAATATTCATAAGCTAGAAGCCCTTGCAACAATTCTCGGTCTAAAATTAATTTAAGGAAAATTTTATTTGAACCCATCTAACTTCTTTCTACATCCAACTTACTCTCTTCACCCATATTGTTTTTTATTAAAGAATTAATATCTCTTTAAACCCAAATTTATTACCTAAACTACCCTCTCAATCCCAATTCAAAATATAAAATTATATGCACACCCATTCTCTTTATAAAATAACACATCTAATTGAAAAGAGGCGTCCTTTGCCCCCTATAATTGCATTTGCCGTATATGACTAGCATTTCCATGGCTACTTTTTTTCTTTCTGCTACCACAACCCATCCATGGACTTGGGATCCAATAGATCATTCCATAGACTTGAATTTGCAAGAGAATGTTATGCAACCTCCAGTTTAGTCCTTTGTAATCAAGCATTTTCATGTACTTTTTAAGAAACTTTGAAGTGACATAGGACTGGGTGTTTTACTGCTATGTTAATAAACAAATAAACAAATTAGAGCTATTTCGAATAAAAAAGGTGCAAGACATGCCACCCACTAGTTCGTGGTTAAGGTTGAGCAATCTTTATTTGCACCAAGAATTAAGTTTTATGTCTTTGCAGTACTAATCAAAAGTTCTTGCACTGGTGTTTTGGGGCGCATATAGACGACATAGAGAAACAAATACAATCTAATATAAAAAGTATGAAATTTAATCCAAAGAAGAAGCAAACAAACAAAATATCCATAAATCGAGTCATACCTTAGTTAGAGGATTAAAAACTTCAAAATCACCATCCATTAATAGAAAGCTTCTTTTTCTGTATCAGAACTATTACACTATGTTTGGATGAGGGAAATAAACATGGAATTTTGGTAAAAGTTGGAATTTATAAATTGACAGACACCAATTCTCTTGTTTGGATTCATAAACATAGAAATTTAGAATTTCCGCGTGGAAAAAAAACTTGGAATTTTGGACCACCAAATCCCAAGTTCAAATTCCATGTAAATATGTGTCATTTCTCAATTTCTATGATTGAGAGTTTAAAAATAACAAATTCCGTATTCAATTCCATTGTTATTTTAAGTTAACCAAACAAGGAAATTTACAAATTCTAGAAAATAAAATCTCGTCGTTTCAATTTTCGTCATTTTTAAATTCCTTAGTAATCTTAAATGTCTTCACCCAAACATAGTGTTAGGGTTTTAGTCGGAATGAACATAGGATAAACAAAGAGCGATGCTAAGGTTTTGTTATGGTATATGGGTCTATTGATAAATTTGATTTTTATTATTAATTTCATTTTGTACTTATTAATAATTATGTAATAGGGTAAAATAGACAATTAATTTTTAAAATTTAAATTGAATTTAGAAAGAGGTTAAATAAGTTTAAATAGAATTTTCCTTAATTTAACGGCAAAATTTTTCATATACAGGCCATAACGTAAAAGTGAGAAATCCAACTCGATACCTCCTAGAAATTTGAGTTAAGGATATTCAGGTAATTATACCATGTAATAAACCCTAATTATTTTCTCCTTCCACAGTCAAACGCTCACCTCTCTCCCCGACTCACTGCATTCTCTCTCGCCTTCTCTCTCTCTCTCTCTCTCTCTCTCTCTCTCTCTCCATTGCCGGCGGCCGGAATTGCAGTTCCCCACGTTGCAGAGTCACAGACTCACAGGTATTTAGCTTACCCCAACTTCCTCAAACTTGCCCCTTTTTTCTGTTTTACTTATTGGAAAATCAGAAGCAAGTTCATGAAATTGTGCAAACGAAAGTTGGAATTGTTCTTTGCTTGCTGTAGTTTTAGGATTCATCCCTGTTTGTGCTCCCTGTGTTTGTAATTTTGATCCGTAATCATATTAGCTGTGGATTTGTTTAATCAGTTTTGCCATTTCATTTTATTGATATGCCTTGTAAATTTTGCTGAAAACTCATCTTAATTTGTCTCCTTAGCTTCCTTTTCAGATGTATTTAGCCAATGTTTCTGGGTTTAGACTGCCATGTTTGAGTTGGTACATTTTTCCGCAACACGATCAAGCGAAAACACACTGCTCATTGCCGGATCTAATTGCGAAAACACCAAACATTTATGCCTAATTTGGTATTAGTTTGTGGTTTCAGGTCGTTAGGCAAAACCGTAGAGAGCCACTCTCTGCCCTTTAGGCTAAGATAGTGAGAGAGATGAGGCTGCTAACCCACAACATGCTATCATCCAACATCAAAGGCGTGACCAACGGCTTCCCTCTGCGCATTGAAATCGAGAAGGTGGTCGAAAAGCAGGTTGAATTCAACCCCGACTTCCTCAAGAACATGTTCCCTAAGATCGAGTGGAAGGCACTTGTCAATGCCTCTCATAGTATGGGATATGTTGAGCTCCCTGAGGAGGTTGAGCCGTCTAGGCTTGATTCTGAAGATTTTCTTCACAAGTTCCATCACGCCCTTTTGGAGCTTCATCTCGAGGAGGGGGCGCTTGTCTGCCCTGAGACTGGTCGCCGCTTTCCAGTTAGTAAGGGCATACCCAATATGCTACTTCATGAAGACGAAGTGTGATTCGCATCAAATGGTGGATCGGACTTGCCATTGCTCTTCTTGTACTTGCTAAAACTTAGGGTTTATGCACTGCAGATTTTGGCATTATGAAATGGAATATGCTTTCGTTTTGTTTAGTTATGTGTTGAAAACCATTTTAGCATTGAGGATTGTTGAATGTAGTAGTAGAAGAATCATGTAGAACTAGCATCGAGTCCTGAACATGCAACCGAGGTCAAATCCCCGGATTTGGATCCCATTTGGATTCTCATTGTGAGGATCCCTTATCCGTTCATTGTACATTGGATGGTCAGAAATCATTTTGAATTTGTTTAGTTAAAACTAAACGCAAATTGTAGCTAACGAAAGCTGGTTGCACGATGAACGGATAAGATGTAAGGATCTTAGGACCCTCACAAAGAGGATCCGAAGAGGATCTTCACTCCAAATCCCCCTTCCAGCATTTTAGATTAGACTGAAAAGTAACATCGCATGTATTCGTGCGGAATATGATGCAACTCAGTGTGTCAAAAATCGCTAAGTATAAATTAATGCCCTACAACTTTAGTAACAAAATGTGAGAGTCATGGTACATAACTTCCTTCCATTCTGTTTGGAGGAAATGCAAAAGGAAATCTCTAACAAAATGACTTTAAACCGAAAATGCTGTAGACACTACTTCCTAACTGTTTTTGCAGCGAGGGGTTTCACAAGATGGAGGTGGGACGCCGAAAACCCAATCGAGAACATTCAAGTATTTGGATCTGAAAACTTCTCTCTCTTGTGCATAGCAATGCATTATGATTGCTGTTGATAAGCTGAAGATTACTACGTCAGCTCTCTTCAATTTTGTTGAAGGCGGCAAGTACCCGATATCAGCCATGCAGGTGAAAAAGCTCTCGATGGCCCGAGCAAAGCAGTAGAGTGAAATCTCAATCCGCCTGCTTTTCTTCTCAATGGCCAAGGCTAGACCAGTCGGGAACTGCCCAACAACACAATTGAGACTCCTTGAGCAAACATATAAAGTTAATCTTGGTACCAAATTTAAAGAGTTGAAGAAAGTTCATACCGTCCCCATTGCGACCATTGGTACGTTACACCTCCTGAAAATCCTAAACAGAAAGCATGTCCATGCCCTGGAGAGAAATATTAAAAATAAATTTTCTCAACATAATTAGAAGTGATTATTTTTTTGGGTCTGTCAGTTAGAAATGACAAGTATCGAGAATGTGAAAATACAATGATGCACCATTTTGAATAAAGTTATAAGTATCGAATCCCAGTTCATGAAGCAGGTTGAGGGGATTTCGGGGCAGGCAAACAATGTGCCTGACCACTTGACTAGCTGAGTCTATTTCAGTATGTTTCCCAACATCACCATGTTATATAACAATGTATTGCTACCTTGAAAAATCAGATTCTAAAAAATTTATCGAAAATTTATCGTAGATAACAGAGAAGGAAAAAGAGACGTGCACAAACATACCTTATTAATCTAGTCTCCAAAAGGGTCCAAAATATTTCATCTGGTATAGTCAATCTCTAACAGAACACGTGTTTTAAGTTTCCCATGTGGCATCGCATGAATTGTTTAAGCGCTGCCACCTTGGCATCCTCATTTCATGTGAGTCATTGTCCTAGTCTTGATTTCCTTCGGTATCCTATGCTTAAAAGATTTAATACTGCGTTTCATTTGCAGTTTCATCAGTTCCTACATCTGGTCTTGATACCTTAAGGTTAATTATGCCCCATGAAAAATTGTCTAAGGAGAAACAATGTTGAACACTTATGATGGGTATCAGGAAAGACCTAGGTTTTAATCATCGAATCAGGACACTTCTTGGGTTCTCATTTACATGTTTCCTAGTAGCAACGTTCATGTAAATGGTACCATCAGAATGCAAGATAAAAGAAAGTAGCTGCTAACCAGGCAGATGAGCAATATACGGATAGAAACAAGCTTGATCTTGCAGTACCAAGAAGGCCCTTTAGTAGTATAGAGTAATGCCTGCACATAAACAGCAATCATAAGAGCACAAACAGAAGCTAAGATTACATTAACATGCACATACGTATCCAGTTTGAATATTTTAAAAGAAACTCAATCATGACAAGATTATCAAAGTGGAATTTGCATTTATGTACGTAGCAAATTAATTACGGTAAGACACATCTCCCCAGTTAAATTCAATTTTGTTTTCTTGGAAACCTCAACTAGAAGAAGAAAGCACTTGATCACATCTACTTAAAGCATCACGGGTATATGAAAAAATGATCAAGAAGGTAAATCATATGAATCACCTTTTCAAGAGATCTTGGCGATGAACTATAAGGGCCGGAATCAGATACACTGGAAGATAAACCGGCAATGCTCTCTTATAGGCTTGAATAAGGAAAGAAAGAACATGTCCACCACATGACTGATCTCCATGAACAATCTGCATGAATTTGAGAGCTTAACACTTCGAATCATAGAGAATTAAGTTAAGGAAGTTTAAATAATTATGATATGAATGAGAAACAAATTTAAATTGTTTTCACATGGTAGGTAGGAAAAGGAAGTAATATGATAATTGAAGAATGCATACCGAGCAGGGAACTTGCATGCCTGGATCTAGTTTAATATTTGTCCCAATGGATTTGTAATGCTTTTCTATTGCTTCCAAATTAGTAAAAGGTATGCCCCTTGCAATCTCTTTTACACCTTGCAATATTACGGTATCCTTTCCTCCGTGTTTATTGAGAAAGGATTTGTATGATGGAGGTAAACTTTCCTGCTTCAATATGTAAGCAGACCTGAGAAATGGAATTTTCCTCCTTTCAGTTGTAGTACAGTCTAAAGTTAACAGTAGGTAATCAGAAACAATTCACAAGTTTGATAATCTATAAAACACTGAAAAGACATTTCTAATTTCATACGAATGAACGTGACACCACAACCAAAAGGACATAAAGTTAAATGAGCCAACTACAATATCCTTCAACTTTTTAGTAGATTTGGTGAGCAGTCACCAGAGTAGCAAAATCTTCTTTGATGATCAACGAGATGGACTCACAAACAGATCCAAAAGTCATGTCAGTTTCATTGATTTCCACATACAAGTATACATGGAACTGACGGAAGTGCATTTCCATCTTTGACACAACCTTTGACATGGAAATGGGAAAAAAACAATCCATGTCAAAACATTCAAGGCTTCACTAACAAAATATTACACAGTTTGCAGTAAAGGGTGCGTACAGAATTTGTGAAGAGGAGAGGCACATAAGGAAAATGTCACCATGAGCCCAAGTGAGAGGTTTACAAATGCCACCAAACCGTTTGCTTTTGATCCCACACCGCGACGCCAACACAGCAGCACGCATAAGAATGTATATGGCCAAGCTCGTATGCTGCGTGTTCAGTCCGGTAAGAAGCATAGACGGCCCTGCTATAGCACCTGCCAGCAAAGCCCTCCATTTGGCTGTCCTGAACTAGAATAAACCAAACACATCAATTAAATCAGAGCAAACAGAAATCGAATCCAACCCGAAAAAATAAGAAGTTGAATCATGGAAGAACAAGGAACTTGCCTACGGTGACCTGCCAACGAACCAATAATCTCGTCCACCGAAACAAATGTGCCGGCAAAAGTTCCGAGAAATAAACCATATCTCAATGTCTCCTTCAAAGCGGTAACAATTGCTTCTCTATTTGTGATCACACCCTCCGTCCTGAATAATTAATAAGAATTTTACTTAAATTACCATATTTAAACAAAATTACACTTAAATTCTGGATTTTAGAGAATTCGAAGCTGGGTGAGCTTTTCACCTGAGAGAGGCTAAGAGCTTCCGTCGTCTCAGCCGAGCTAGGATCGAGAAAATGGCGAGGCCGCCCTTGAGGCCGGCGCCGATTGTGAATCCCTTGACCGAAGCAGTCACGACTCTCCGCAGCTTCTCGGAGTCGCTCAACGGCGCCGAAACGTATCCGAGCGAGGAAGAATAGTAAAGCAACGAGGGTGAAGGATCGGACTTCCTGCAATGCGTACAGTTGGGATCGGCGGATCCGTGGCGGTCGCCATCGGGGCCACCATTTTCTCCGGCGAAGCACGTGCAGAGGTCGCGGTCCGGCAGCATCGCGGCGAACGAGTAGGGGCTTTGCATGCAGGAATGGGGCTGCGAAGCCGAAGACGGTTCGTAGGAAAGGAAGGAGAAGGGAAGGGCTTTGCGATAATCCACAGGGCGAGCCAGAGACGCACAAGCGTCCGACAGTTAGGTGGTTTGAACTTGGAAATGATGACGTCATTCGTTCTACTTTCCTTTTTGTATTAATTATTTATTACCTTTTTAAGAGGTTTCTTCTTGTTGGGAGATTGAGAAATAATTGTATAAGAAAATAATGGTTGTTTGGTTTGGTTAGCTTTACCTTTTGATGACATATAATATATACCTAAAAAAGAAATCTCCATCATCCCTCCAAAAGCACAAAAAATACCGAAAATTCTACCATACCCGCACATGCATTAACATATACCATATGCTTACGCTGTGGTAACGAGTTATAATTAGAATAGGTTTGACATTCGATTCCCAACCGCTTAACAAAAAGAGATTTATAATCTTGGACACATAATAGCGAATAAGAATATACCAGTAGCACTTAGGTCCACATTAAATTTACTACTGTGTACCACATACCACAAATTCTTCCGCATTTAGGTCCACAGTTATCACTACATGATCGTTTGGTGAGCTAGATGAAATAGGTTGTGATTAATTAAAATTAATTTAAGTCCACTCTATTGTTTGTTGTGTCAAATGTGAGATGAACAAGACAAAAAATGATGGGTTATAACTTATGAGCCCACAATAGAGTCAATTATCTAACTTATTCTTATACATAGATTACAAGTCATATTTACACGTCCTTGCCAATCTAACCTTATCCTTAAGACCTAATCTGATTCAGCCCACCAAACAGGCCCACAAGGATACCATAAAAATCAATGCCCCAAGGGAAAATGGAACGAAAAGTGATGACAACCCAATTGTTACAGCAAGTAAATGAGAATGTGATAGCAAAGATGTATAAAGTAGCACCAAAATATTACTATTTCCTGACTAGAATGACATTGAAAGTTCGGCGGTGAGCAAAGGGTTAGATTTGCAAATGAGTTAGTATGAATTGAGCAAAGATTCAGCTGTGGAGTATTTTCCTTCCTTTCGCAATACATGAAGCTTGTGGGAACATAAGTGGTAATGCAAAGGTGGACCAATTTTTTTGACCATATTTGCAAACCATGTGATGTGTTTGTGTCAATGTCACCAATAGGATATAAGCTCGATAATCAACACTCAATAATAATCCGATCATCAACAACCACGTCATATGGTTTAAATTGATGATTTCCCCAGCATTACTCAATGCAAAAATCACTATAATCCTACCATTCTGAATTTATAGCAGGTGCTCCTCCGAGCTGGCCATGAAACCTCCAATCATATACCTTCAGACATAACCCATTGTATCTCTTCATTCTACCATGAGAACAATCTTCATAAACTCATAGACGAAGTAACTTATTGCGGCTGAAGGAAGTACCTGAGTATGCAAAACACCAAGGATAAGAACAAAGACACAACCTTAATGCTTGAAATTTGAGAGAAATGGACCACGGGAAATGAATGGAGAATGTTACGGAAATGGAATAAATGATTCCATGGAAGCACATCAAATCTTAGTATGGCCCAATAAAAATGTTGTTTTTCTTGGAAGGCTAATACAGAAACGCAATATTTGGAAATGAATCACTCAGTTTGGGAGCCATGTATGATGTACCATCTCAACTGTAATACATATGCAGATTTTAATCTCCCTTAGTTTATCTTGTTTATTGATAGTCTCCGGGGTTAGGGTAAACTTATAAGATGATGCTATGCGAATATATGAACGATAAAGTAAACATACCACACACAAACACAAAGAATTTAGCAAGGTTTGGCAAACTTTGCCTACTCCACGTGTGATCCCCCTTGAGATATCACCAGCACTATGGAGAATAATAAGTTGGTTACAAGAACTTACTGAAAACCCTTGTATTCTCTCTGATGTTCATGTGAATGAACAGAAACTGACAAGCTTATTTATAGTGCATAGACCAATGGTGACATGCCTTACAAGTATAGGATTCCTAAATCCCTTTAGAATAGGGAAAACTAACTTATTTCCCGATCCTAAACTGATTGGGATAACAAAGAAAAACCTATTTCACAATTCTTATGGGAAATAAGCTGTGCACTCTTTCTCAACACCAATTGGAATATGAAACCGAAAGTCGTTTGGCCTTGGTATTTTGATGAGCCAAATCACAACAACATAATATAGCAAGAGCAAAGATATGATAAAAAACAAAATGATAAAATCAAATAGCAGAACTTCTAACCAAGGAATCTAGATATATTATCAAAATTCAAAGCCATGGAAACCAAGATCTAACTAAGAATATGCCAGCAAATTGGCTAAATTGCCCCAATTTAAATGCAGAAGCTATGACCATGTTTATGATTCCAGAAGCACCTAATTGACCATATTAACTTCCATAAAACACTAAAGCAGTTAAGCAAAAGGTGATCCTTGTAATAACATACCTGTAACAAGCTGGGAATAAGTCCTGCATAGAGAGCTGGGACACCTCCATGTTCAACTATTTTAATACCAGTTGCCAAGGCACTCATTCTAGTTTCCTGGACTTGAAGTTGAAGCTGTCGCCTCACCACTTCAAACGGATATGTGGCAGCTTCTGCACAAGCACCAGAAATAGCTCCATATAGTAATGTCCGAATCGGTCCCAACTCCAGTTGATCCAAAGCACTCCGGCCCTGCCCCTGTTGGCTCATCTTGTGAATTCTTTTCCTTCCGTCAGGTGAATGCAGGTATGCTGATTTTAATATATCGTAGACACCATAGAAAACTGCACCTGAAGGTGCCATGCTTGCAATGGAGGGTACTAAGCCCTTATAAAGGGAAAAGAACCCTTCAGTTTGGATCATGTGGCGAAAAGCACCAATGACACCACCCAAGGCTTCCCCACCAGGAGCCACCAACTGAGTCCGAATCTGAAACACACAACAACTAAGTTAGATGTAAATCATTTCAGTGTTAGTCTTAGGTGATAGTCGATTAACTTTGAAGAACACAAACTCAATGCCGACATGATCCACAAAGTGCTTCGCTTACAGGTAGGAGATCTTTGTATCTCTTTTATTAGAAAGGCCAGCCATAATTTTTTTTCCCTTAAAAATAATCTAAGCATCAAAAGGAAGACCTTGTTTTCAATATGCAAAAGAAACACAATATATGTGCAACACCGTGCCCTAAACCTCATTTACAATATGCAAAGGAAACTCTCTATTTATGCAATACCATACCCCAAATCCCAATCAATTTATGCTTCACCACAGCAAATATCACAGTGGCATTAGCCGTGTAAAGTGGGCATACAGATACAATACAACCTTCAGCAGGCAAGGGACTCCATACAGCATCTTAATTGTGGATTTTTAGAGTTTTCTTCAGGGAATTTGACACGTCAAATACTTTTAAAAGATCCACAACGCCCAATTTTATACATAAGCCTGAATTAATGCTATATAGCAGAATTTATGAAAAGGATGTTGAGATTCATATTATTGCTATAATGCCATGCTACAGGTACTATCTCAGACCTGAGATGACAATAGCTTGCATATTCAAAGATATAACTCATATACCTAAAGGCAGTATGTTCTTCTGCTTTAATAAAGTGTATTCGAAAAGAAGAAATGACCAACATTTCCCAAGTAAATCATACGTTAGATACCTCCGTTAAACACTCCCAATTACGTGTACTTTCTATTGGCTTAGGTTATGGAAGGGAAAAGAAGAAACTATATCATTTAGCTGTATCACCACATTTTGGAATTAAACAGATACTTGAATTTATATATCAACCTGGAAGAATAACCACTTTTCAGCTAGTAATTGGTCAAATGGCCGAATTCGAAACTATCACTTACCGTATCAAGAGGTAAGCAGAGTATGGTAGCAGTAATTCCGGCTGCAGCACCAGCAACAAATCTTTCAAAATTTGTAGTCTCCTTATTTCCGGAGACGCGGAGCAATTGTTTTCTGTAAGTATCATAAGCATAGAAATTGATTGCTTTAAATGGAGCTGTACGAAGAATATTGACTAGGTTCCCCTTCCAAAACCCCCTCAAGCCCTGATTAGCTGCAATGGTCCTAACTAGCTCAAATAAATGCCTCTGTTCGCCGCGAACTATGTACTCCAGCTTTAGTCTCTCAAGAGGTGCCACAAAAGTTCTGATACAATAACCTTCGGTCAGCAACATACAAAGCACTAAATCGCAGTTAACGAAAAAGAAACTCCAAAGTTCGATATGATAATCTCTAAAACCCATTCAAAGTTCGATACAATAACCTTCAGTCAGCAACATACAAAGCATAAAATTCCCATTCTTCAAATTTCGATTCACGTGTTTTGTTCAATTCATAAAATTCCCGTTCAAAATAAAGTAATGGGAAAATCAACCTACTTAAATTAACAGTTCATGCAATCAACCGAAATAATTCATGGGAAAATCAATTCCATAATTCTTCTAAACAATATATATTATGAATTACAAATTACTCAAATTACACAAAAAGAAATTGAATGAAAAATACGAAGAAAAGGCAATGAACATAGACCTGGAAACCATGGCGGCTATGGCACCAGCCCACAAATGCTTGGTGGTATTCATGGCCCCACCACTCCTAACCCCAACTTTCTCTCTCTTCCTCTCTGTAACCACCGCTTCCGCCTCCGCCTCCGCCTCCTCCGAACCCTCATCTCCGTTCTGCACCAAACACCCCTTGGACTCCCGAACAACCCCATCGCTACTCAAGCTCACCGAAAAGAACCCACCGCCGGCCACCGCTCTCAGCCTACACCCGAACGACAAACCCGACCCGGAAACGACAGCCGCAGACGAAGAGTTCTTCTGAAAGGACACGACGGAATTGAGCAGGGAATTGGGAACCGTGGGTTCCAAGAACAGGCCGCCGGTGATGAAAAGGGTAGAATTTGGGTCGTCCATTTGGTTAGGCGTGGGAATGGAATTGGATTTGGAGGGTGTGAATGGTGGTGCAGTCAGAGTGAGGCGGGAATGGGATTGGGGGATTGGAGAGTAGGAGGGGTGAATGGGATAGGAATGGGAATGGGAATGGGAAGAAGGATTGGGGAAAATAATGGCGGATTCGGTAGCGGCAGCTTTGCTTCCATCGCCAAACGTGAAACATGCACAGTATAAAATCCAGTTCTCTCCTACGGACTATGGTTAAACTTTCTCACTCCGGGCACAGTCAAGTCGGTTTCCTTGTTTAGTCAATTTCTTACCTTACATTTTTTATTTGTCTGAACGTTACGATTTGGATAGTAAAAATTTCAAGTTTAAATCCTTAAAACTCCTCAATCTTTTACATTGATTCAAATTAGTCTCAATATTTATAAACATTCTAAATAAATATCTAATTTATTGAAAATGTTATATTCATTAAGTGCCAATTAATTTTCTCATTAAATATGCATGTAACAACAATGAATCCCACTTTTTAATTTACATAAACACTAAAATATTAATAAAAATAACTTCAAAAAGGACATAAAGATGAAATAATAAAAATAAATAAATAAATGAACAAATAAACTGGAAAACAAAATTAAGATTGGGAAATATCAAGCCCTGCCACCTCCAAGCTCAACCTGCTCAGCCACTGAAACTCCCGTTCCAGCCTTTATATTCAAAACCCACCAACTAGATATATTATGGTTAACATTAATATTAGTTGCCTCAAAATATAGATTTCAAACATAGATTATATAATTTGTAACACCATGATCAATGGGTATTGAATTGAATCAAAAATGGACCCAAATTGAAATTACATCAGGAGGGCAATCTACTAACAAATTGAAAACAATATTCGATTCGAATGTTTTTTTTTTTTTTGGTAAATGTAATCTCCTAACAATATTCGAAATCGTATAATTTCTTAATTTTCAAAAGAAGATTATGTTTACAAAAAAATCATTCGAATCAAATATTGTTTAGTCATCCAAAAATATCAAAGGACAGTTCATCATCAATATATTTAGTATCTACACTGTAGATAATGACTCAACAAGTTTGGATTCAAATAATTTTTTACAAGGATGATCTTTAAATGAAGATTAAATAATTCAACAATTTTGATTATGAAATTTTTACAGTGAAAATATGTTATTTGCAATTGGGGGGATAAACTCATCCTTAAATGAGAATGCAAGTATTATTCATGTGATTTTTTTTTTTTTTAAGTCAGCTTTAGAGCATATCCAAAAGAGTAAGCAAAATTTTTCTTTAAAAGTGTCATTTGCTAATTCACTTGACACTTCGTGCTACTTTAAAAGTTTCCATTCCTAACCCAATTTGCTAACTTGAAGAAGTAGTTGCTAATTCTTTTAAGGGCCCATTTTTTTGGCTTCTCTAAGTCTCACTAGACTAGACTGGACTAACACTTAGTGTAGTCCAATGTTTTTTTTTGGAGAAGGGACTACTTTTAATGGTACTACTAAAGAGTAATCAAATATAGGTATAATGTTCTTTTCTTCTCTGTATAGCTGTTATACTTGAACATGTAATTATTAGTATTACTGAGGGTAAATATGTAAAGTATGTTTACGCTATAAGTACCAAGTGCATAACTAATTATTTTTTATTGAGAAACTAATTATTTTTTATTGAGAAATACAAGTATTTCAGTTAAAAGTTTTCTTCCTCTCTAAGCTTCCTATGTAAGTCTCAATATGGTATCACTCGCCATTTGCCTCCTAGGGATTTCGATCCGTCCAATTTCCACTCGCGCTCTTTGATTCTCGACGAAAATTTCTCTTTGTTACTTTTATTTGTGATCTTGCAAAGTTGTATTGTGCGTATCAATGGCTTCTCCGTCGGAATCCTCTCACGAGTCGGTGCTAAATCCAGCCCCAATTTCATCTTCCTTAAACTCTAACTTCTCTAATTCGTATACTTCTTTTACGATTTAGAATATTGGAAGCATGGTTCCAATCAAGCTAAAATGCTCTAATTATCTTCTATAGCATGCGTTGTTTGCTCCGATTCTTCGCCGCTACAAACTCCTTGGCGTCATTGATGGCACAGAACCGTGTCCCTTTCCTTTGCTTCAAATCGTTCAATCAATCTGGCCTTTGAACTTTGGTATGAAAAAGATCAGAATCTCCTTATTTGGTATAATTCTACGCTTTCTGAAGAAGTTATCCCGTTTATTGTTGGGGTTTCATCATCTCGAGATCTGTGGATCAAAATGAAACAGCGATTTAGGGGTGTTTATGATGCACATATTCATCAATTGAGATCTCGACTTCAATCTCTTCAGAAAGGATCTTTGTCCATCTCTGAATATCTGCAACAAATCAAAGAGATCTCTGATTCATTGACTGCTACTGTAGCTCTAGTTATCGATCGTGACTTAATCGTTGCTATACGTGCTGGATTGCCAGATGATTTTGAGTCATTTATCGATTCTATCATGCTTCGTCTTTCTTCCACAACACTTGATGAATTACACGGTTTACTTCTCACCAAGGAATTGTCCCTGTCTCGAAGAAAGAAACTTGCTTCCTCCAATGTCACATAACCATTTCAAGTCTTTTCAGTTCACACTTATGCTTCTTAAGCTCCTATTCTTCCTACACCATAAGTCTTTGATGCTCAGCATCTTCAATCACAGAATTTTGTGAAGCACAATCGTGGTAATCAAGACAATAACTACAACAATCAGGGTCATAACTACAATAATCATGACAATCATGGTTCCAATTACCATTCCAAAGGTAATAATTCCAATCACCGTGGCAATTATCATGGCTCTTGCAATTTCAATACACTGGTTATCATACACAATGTCAAATTTGTGGTTCCACTAGTCATGAGGCTATCGACTGTTATGATCGTATGAATCCTGAGATTGTTGTTAAAGTACCTTCTGCAAAGTTGGCTACAATGTGTACTCATCATTGAATGAAGCCTAATACTCCATCCTGGTTAATTGATTATGTCGCTACTTCTCACATTACAAATGATATCTCTAACATTCAATCTCTCAGTCCTTATCATGGAGAAGACAAAGTATATATTGGTGATGGTAAAGGTATGTCCATTGATCATATTGGTTCTTCTTTGTTGCATACTCCATACTCTACATGTCAGTTGCAGAATGTCCTATATGTGCCTCAAATGTAACACAATCTTCTTTCTGCTTATCAATTTATTAAAGATAACAAATGTCTATTAACTCTTGATATTGGTGGATCATATGTCAAGGATTGTACTATGGGGATGATGCCTTTACAAAGACCAGTTAAGGATGGTTTCTTCCCTCTTCAAAGCTCCTTTACACCCTGTCACTCTTCAGTATTTTCCCCTATTGTATTAATCAGTAATAAAGCCTTTGCAAAAGTGTGGCATAGCAGACTTGGCCACCATTCTTCTTCTATTTCATAAGAATACTCTCTACTACTCAACTTGCACTTCAAGGAAAATCTACGGTGGATTTCTTCTGCAAGGATTGTGCTTTAGCCAAAAATCATAAAACTTCCTCTCAGTAGTACTAGTTCATTTTCATCCAAATGTTTGGATTTGTTGCATTGTGACTTGTGGGGACCCTCACCTGTTAGTGGTCATAAATACTATCTGGTCATTGTTGATTTTAGTAAGTACTATTGGTTTTTCCCCTTGGAATCTAAGGTAGATGTGTACTCCACTTTTGTAAACTTTCAATGTTATGTAGAAAATATTCTTGGAATACAATCAAAATTGTCAGATCTAACTTAAGGGGTGAATTCACTAGTAATATCAGTTTCAATCAACAATTCAGTTGTCCCCATACCCCTGAACAAAATGGCTGTGTTGAGCGTAAACACAGATATCTAGTTGAAACTGCAAGGACTTTGTTAGTTCAATCTCAGGTACCTTATTAGTTTTGGGTTGAAGCATTCTCAACTGCTGCCTATTTGATTAACAAACTTCCTATATATGGCATTCCCCAGTCTCCTTGGGAACTTTTGTTTCACATTCCTCCAAATTATTCACATTTGAAAATATTTGGATGTAGTTGCTTCCCATGGCTCAAACCTTACATCTCTTCCAAATTGGATAGTAAAAGTAAACATTGTGTTTTCTTGGGGTACAATGTTCAACATAAAGGGTACCAGTGCTTGGATCCACTTACTACGTGCATTTAAATTTCCAGGCATGTCATTTTCAATGAATCAGAATTTCCATATCACAAGATTATAACTGCTGCATCTACTTCTTCATCAACTTCAATATTTTCACCTATTAGTCTTGAGTTTAACATTCTTCATTGTGCTCCATCTATAGCACCAGTTCCTCAAGTGTCTACTCCTACTCCAAGTAATCATCTTACTGCTAAATCTTCAATACATGAAGATTATGCATCATCATCAAGTGCAACTTCTTCCAATGCTATAGTTCCTCAGGTTGTTACCAATATACATCCAATGGTCACTTGGTCTAAAGCGGGAGTTTTTAAACCTAAGGCTTACTCAACAACTAAGCATCCATTGCCATCTTCAATTGATCCTATTCCAACTACATATCTTCTAGCATCCAAGTTTGCACACTGGAGAAATGTTATGCAAGAGGAATTCAATGCATTGCAGTCCATAAATACATGGTCATTGGTGCCGTTTACTTCTACTCAAAATGTTGTTGGTTGTAAGTGGGTCTTCAGGATCAAGACATATCCAGATGGTAGCATTGATTGATATAAAGCCTGGTTTGTAGCCAAGGAATTTCATCAGCAAGAGGGACTGGATTACAAGGAGACTTTTAGCCCAGTGGCTAAACCTGTCATAATTAAGATTATTTTGTCTCTTGCTGTTCAATATGACTAGTTTTTTAATCAGCTTGACATTAGTAATGCCTTCCTACATGGTGATCTCAAAGGGGATGTCTTTATGACTCAACCTTCTGGTTTCTGTGACCCCAATTTTCCCAACCATGTGTGTAAACTCAGCAAGTCTATCTTTCTATGGTCTTAAACAAGCTCTTAGAGCTTGGTTTGACAAGTTGTTCAACACTTTAAAGTCTTTCGGTTTTCAATACTCAACTTCAGATGCTTCTTTCTTTGTGCTTAAAGCTCTTGTGTTGGTTTATGTTTTGGTCTATGTTGATGATATTCTAGTGACTGAACCAAATTCAAATGTATGCAAACTCTTCATTCAGAAGCTTAGTTCAGTCTTTCCAGTCAAGGACCTTGGTTCTTTGCAT